TGCCTGAGGGTGGGGCCAGTGTGGCATGTGATACCAGGGATCGAACCTGGGTCCCTGAGCTTGCCCAAGTAGGCACTTAGTCTGCTGAGCTATTTGTCCAGCCCTAGTGCTTGATATCTTGAAATGAGAGCTTTTCTGTTTAGACCATATATTCTACCTTTTCTTTCTTTATTTATTTTTTATTAATCTTAATTTTATTGAGAAACAAATATGAATGAGACAGTTTCAAAGCTGATTAATAGGACAGTTTCAATAATCAATACATTGCACATCGTTATCTTCTTAGTGGTTATCCATAGTACAAGAAGCAGACAGGATATCCTGTCCAAACAGTTAGTACACCTCTTTCTTCTCATTGAATTAAGCAAAAGTAGCTGTATATCTATCAGAAGTATTTTGTATATATAAATACAAACTGATCTTTCTTTTGAATCCCCTTTTTTTTGTTTAGTCCTGTCAGGGGTGGATATTCTCTTGACATCTAAATACTATAGGTGTTTGAATTCAGCTAAACAATCCAACACTGTCTAGCAGTCTATAATATTAGTGGGTTATCCTCAGAAGTTATTGACGAGCCTTTTACAGCTCATCGTATTAATATGGATTTACTTTATATACCTCATTTTTATACTTTTCTACTGGATGGTTAAGACCAAGATAAAGCAAGACCTATATAACAAGAAATGTAACTTTTGTATCTGACAAGGTCAGTCAAGTCCCCTCAGGATTTATCCCGTCGCCCTGTACCACACTTTGCAGATCCTTGTCAGCGTCAGCCATGTGGTGAGTCACGGCCATTGCTTGACCAATTTGCTCTCTGTGCTGCTTTTTCTTTTCACTCAGGGAAGATTCCCGTGTTTCAAGAAAAAGAGAGTGGGGGATCCAGACGCATATAGGGTTTCATTTGGTAATATATTTAAAGCTCTAAAACAAAACAAATACCTTTTTTTTCTTGGCATACAAATTGATATGTTTGTTTTGGCCAGCTGGAGTGTGATTTTGAGACAGCAACATGTAGACTAAATTTGGGACACTAGGTAGTGACCCATGAGATAGCTTCATGCTGCACAGATGAGGTTCTTTGTTCCGTGGTGATTTAATTATTTTCTTGGAATACAGTACACTTTTTTCATTCAGAAAACCTAATGAAATTTGCACCTGCTCTCGCCTCTAGAATCACAAGCGATAATTCTTCATCTCGATTGCTAGAGAATGACCCAGAGTGCAAAACACTGATGGATGACAAGCTGGGGGACAATGCTCCTTGGCTGGCTGGCACTTACCACGTTTGCTCAGGTGAAACAGCCAACTGAAGTGCCTGTGTGGGCCTCAAGGAGAAAGGGAGCAAATTTCTTTTATTCCTCCAAGCAATAATAAAAATTATTACTGATGGGTTCCAGCCCAATTACAAACTGCTAAATGATCACGGCCCTGATCCAACATGGCTGAGTCCCCAAAACAACAGCTCATCTCCCCAAGGACCACTTCCTCCTTCCTCCCCACCCCACCCCTGGATACAACTTCCTTTGACCTTTCCCGCCCACACAAGGGAGCCTCCACTCAGCTCCTTATACCTCACTGAACCTGCCCCTAAAATCCCGCCCCCAGCAGAAGTCCATAAATTCTCAGCCTCCCTGTCTCAAGTCAGAGGATCTGCCCATCTCCCTGCCCTCAATCCTGTCTGTGTCTTCAGAGGTAATAAAGCCTTTCCGTCCCTCTTATTTCTGCATCTCTGCTACACCACCACTGCTGACAAAACCTGACATTTTTTGTGCCGTGACTTGAATTGGTGAGTCGTGTGGCTCCCGAGGCTTTCTGTTGCCCCAGTTTTGAATTCCCTCATTGAGCTGCCGTCTGCTTCTGCCTCTGCCTCTGCCATTGCTAGCTGACATCCAACACTGGCCAATCTCAGTCCTCACTCATGAGCCCAAAAACTCGGGATCTTGCTTGTTTTTCTTCCTCTCATCTCACCTCACAAATCGTGCACTCAGTTTTCCTTGCCCGTGTGTACCCTGGGCCCCTGCTTTTTCTACTGATGGCTATTAAAATAGGTGCTGGCCTCCTCTCTCTCACACTCACTCCATGCTAAAAAGTGATGACTTTTTGGCAGGCAGGGAAGTCAGGCTTTTGCCCTAATCTTTGACTCATTTTAATTCAGACACCATGGGAAATCTTCCTCCCATCCTCCGAAGCACACACCACTGGACTGTCCCCTACAGAACCTTAGCACCCTGAGATTTCAAGGATATCTCAAACCCAAACGAGTAATTAAAAAAAAAAAATTCTGTTATTGCAATGGCAAATGGCCAGAAACCCCTTAAAAGCCTTTGTTGACTCTGAAAACACGTCCCTCCCATCTTCCTCCCTCTGTTGTCCCCCTGCCTTATCTGCAGGTACTGTCCTCTCCACACCCTCCGCCGGAAACTCTGTCTTGTCAGTCTCCTTGACTGCCTCTTTACTTATTCCACCCTCTGTAGGAACATCTCTGCCCTCCACTTCTGCCTCCTGTACCCCTGTAGATTCTGCCACCTCTCTTTCCTCTTCTGTATCGGAACCACAGGCACCTGTGGCCCCTTCTCCCACTTTTTTTTCCTTCCTGTGTTCCATACTTCCTCCCACCCAACTCCCCCAGCTTCACCACTGGTTTGCAACTATTTACTATGTGGCCAGCTGCCACTGTCTTGTGCACCATGTGGCCACTACCATTTTACATGCCACGTGGCCATCCACCACCACCATGGGGTTGCTCCTCCTGTGATGTCAGAGTGTGACTGCTGGTGCCCTGTCATGTGACCAGCCACTGCCATCTTGAACGCCATGTGGCCATCCACCCCTACTGTGTGGTCCTTCTTCCTGTGACATCAGAGCACCCATGATGGGTCACCACCATCTTCTGGGGCCATGTGGCCATCTACCATCTTACAGTCACTCCTCTTGTGATGACAGAGTGCCACCTGTTAGTGTCTCATCACATGATGGGCCACCACCATCTTGCGGCCTCTCCTGCAATAACTATAAATAAGAGGTTTTTATGTTTTCATATTCTTATAAGAGATCTCTATTAATTGACGTACGAAAGTTCTGACTAGTCTTTTTATAATTATAAACTTAAAAATGTTATTATAATCAAATTTGGCCAAAAATATATTTGAGTGCACTCTGATTTTGTAAAGATGTTCACTGTGTGTTCTGTGTATTTGTGTTCGTATGTCAACAGTTATTCTTCTTTTTATTTGAGCTTTAAAATACAGACTTAAAAGCATGCTTTTTCCTGAGTTGCCAGTTGGCCTAACTGATACCAAAATTGGTTTATAATTAAACAAAAATTGTTAAAATGGGGAAAGATTATTGGACAGCACTCTTAATTGGTAGAGAGAGGTGTGGCCAACTTTTTCTCATTAATTAGGGGCCCTCAATAATCTTGATAGCCTCTTAGAAAATACCCCCAAAAGTTGGTCATAGGTTAAAAGATAGTTTTTTAAAAAAATTAAAATAAAGGGGCCAGGGAGATGGCTCAGTAGAATAAGCACTTGCCTGGCAAGCACAAGGGGTCTGAGTTCAATCCCCAGTTCTGCAAAAAATTAAAATAAGGTTTTCTCATAAAAGATATTAAATATATTCATGCCTTCCAACTGTACAATATTCTATAATGTAAATTTTCTTTCACATTAAACATGTCTTTCTCTTATGCTCTATATATTTGTAATAAGAGGTTCATGTCAAGCCAGCATGAGGTCATCATTCAAATGATAATTTTCTAACAAAAAACTTATATGATATGTATGTTGTGTACATTTAGAGACGCTTAGCTAAAATGGAGATTTCATCATGACTGTTATGCTAAGCTACTATGTATGACTATTGATGTCAAATTTCTCTAATATTATATGACTGTTGTCTGTTAATATTCTACAGTGATTTAACTATGAGAACATCCATAGTTTGTAAGAAACAACAGTTCTCTGGTTACACTTTATATTTCAAAGTGCTTAATACTCATGAAATTTTAATAATTAGGTGTATTGCTCCCAGCTAAGTATACTAATGTAGACCCAGATTCTCCTGAAGGAACAATTGTTATTCCTACTTTATATCCCTATCCATTCCTGACATTCATGTCAAGCTTAAAAAGATAGATCTTGGTCCTCAAACCTGCACCAGAGAGACTTATTTTATCTGGCTTTCCATATCTTCAAAAATAGAGACAAAAATTAACTATACACGAGTGCCAGCTTTTGGCCACAGCACTTGGGACTTCCATCAACACAGGACTTTATCAAGATAATGCTGAAGGGATGACCAGATAGCTCAGTGGACTAAAGTGCCTGCTTAGGCAAACACTAGGGGACCAGCATTCGATCCCTGGTTTTCCCCCACAGCAGATTGCGCTGAGATGGTAATTGAGACTGCACAGGGTGGTGCAAGCCTGTAATCCCAGTGCTTGGGAAACTAAAAACAGGAGGATCACTATGAGTCTGATCTGTGCAGTGAGATGCTGTAGACCCTGTACTAAATACATAAAAAATAAAAAAAATTTAAAAAAAGATGAAGCTGAGTTTAAACAAAATGGTGCCAACTGAGTCTCTCCTGGGTGGTTTCAAGTGTGGCAAAGATGAGTCCAGTGAGATAGCTCAGTGGACTAAGTGCCTGCTTTGGCAAGCACAGGGACCAAGGTTTGATCCCTGGTCCTGCGTACCACACTGGTTCCATCCCCAGGATGCACTGAGCTGGTGAATGAGTTTGGGTATGGTGGTGCATGCCTGTAATCCCAGCTCTGGGTAGGCTGAATACAGGAGGATCACTGTGAGTCCGAGCTGCGTAGTGAGACCTTGTACCAAATACATAAATGAAAAAAAATTAAGTGTGGCAAAGATAGACACTGGGCACAAGCCTGGCCCAGCCTGCAGCCACCACCAGGTTGGTCCCATCTACAAGCTCAAGGGTCACTGGAAATGAGACTGCCCTGTCTTCCAGAGAGTAGGTATCATTCAGTTCCCTACCCTCACAGGAAAACTCTGCAGCCAGATCCATTGATAGTTGATCTGCTTGGTCTTGGAGGAATACTGAAGAGAGATGACAAATTTAGGGTCCATGGCCCCAATTGAAGTATCTTTGCCGCAGCCCAAGTCTCACTGGACATCTCAGGTAGGACAGTTTTCTTGTTGGCACAGGGGCCACAAATGTTCTTAGAGTTTTCATGTCACTGTATTAGATCTACAACCTCCATAGTAGGTGTTGATGGCCAACCTACAAGACTCCTTCAGACAGGGCCCATTCTCTGCCAACTCTAGACACTGTTTTTCACTCATAATTTCCTTGTGATCCCAACCTGCACCACACCTCTCATGAGGAGAGATCTCTTCCAAAAGCTCCACTTCTCTTTCATCTCTCTCCCTACTGTGCTTGTCCTTGATACCCAACCTCAATGCACAGCCAGCTCCTCCCTCTTTCTTCCCTCTTTTCTTATTGACCTCATGCTTGGGACACTTCCAGTCCTACTCTTGCCACCCACACTACCCCTGCACTAGTTTGCCTCAGGGATCCTTCAGCCTTCCCATGAATTCCCCAACATCCAATAGCCCCTAACTACCAATGGGCAATACAGGCAAATGGGCTTTTAAAGGATCACCTCACTAGCCAGTACCTCCTGATCAAGTCAAGATTTGTAAGCAGATAAGGTCTATGATAAATGAGGCCAATATATCCCTCTAGGTCCCATTTGCCAGCACCATCACACTGTATGCTCAAGGTGCAGCATACCTGCTCCTCTTTGAACAAAAGCCCTCCCAGTTCTGGCACTGTACCCAGGATAATCCCAGACAAAGCAACGCTCATTCCTTTTATTCTATCTGGAAAAGCACACTTTTAATACTTAGGTTGAACTTCAGTTGAGTTCTGTATGAAAGGTACAACAGCAAAATGGAAAAGAATAAGGGCTTCTGGAAAATATGCTGCTGATCACATTTGTAACTGTGAGTGACTTAAGGTCCCTGGGCCTTTTTTCCTTCAATGTAACCCAACAGTTTAACACTAACTTCCTCATCAGGTTGTGGGAGTGTTAAAACAACCATCTTTCTACAGAGTTTAGGACTAGGCCCGCAACATAAATATATAATATGCACATCTTAACTCCTGTTTCTATTCTTGTTGACATTTCTCAATCCAGTTGTATTTTAACTTTGTTCTATTTTAGCTTAACTGGCTTTTATGTCTAGAATCATATCCACTTGGGTGAAATGAATGACCAGTGCAATATC